TATATATATAATATATATATATCAATGAACTGGTACCTTCCATTTCAATGTATATGAGGAAGTGTGCATGCACATGAAAGCTTATACTTAGAGTGAAACTTTGCTGGTCTTAAAGATGCCACTGAACTCAAACTTTAAGACCAGCAATGAGCCACAGCCTCTCCCCAATACTCTGTTCACTGTTTAACAGGGAACCTATCACTGTAAACACAAACATATACACACATGTCTATTGTTTATTCCTACCCTTAATGCAGGCTAAGCTACATTACTAAAACAGAGCCACCTGCAAGATAAGCTGCCCAGCCTCAACTACTTGCTACTATTATTATTAAATTTATATATGCCACCTCTCACCGCCAAGCGGTTTTGAGGCGGCCAACAGCTAAAATATTAGCAGACATCATTTAAAAACATAATACAAATAAAAACTAAAAAGCAGCCCATATAAACAGACCCGACTAATGAAAAGCTAAATAGAAGAGCTCTGTTTTGCAGGCCCTGCAGAACTTTGGTAAGCCCCACAAGGCCCGCATACTCTCTGACAGCTGGTTCCCACCAGGACAGGGCCACTACAAAGAAGGCCCTCGTGCTGGTAGATACCAGGTGAATATCCCATAATAAGAGGTGCTCAGCCAACTTTGAAGAGCAGGATACTACTGCTTACCTGCTTTTCGGTCTCTGCCAGGTATCTGCCCAGCCTGCAGCAACCCCTTGAGCCGCTCTACTTCAGCCAGAGTCGTGGCATTAGCAATGGCATTCTTGCAGAGAAAAAAGAAGAAAATTGTGCTCAGTCAACATTCACAGTAGACCACTTCATGCATGAGAAAACACTATATTTCACAGGAATGTCTACAGCAACCAAGAAAATTTGCAACAGGCTCATCTGCACTCTGAACAGAAATTCAAGGGTGTATCAAGATTCATGTAATTCGATGCCAGAAACAGGGAACAATTTTAGCATCCATAATGCTTTAATATTCACTCACTGCTACCCAGTTACCCACCACACTCCCTTTAGGAACATTCATATTCACTCACTGCTACCGAGTTACCCACCACACTCCCTTTAGGAACAGAGTTACAGAACTCTAAAGCATCTAAACTTTTGACAAGAAAAGGTACACAATCAGTAGCTGAGATGCACCACTTCCTGTCAATGTGCTGGGCACACAGAAGAATCTTTTAACTTGGTGGGAAGTGCCATCAAGTGCAGTTGACTTATGGCAACCCCTCGAGGAGTTTTCAAGGAGGAAAAACAGCAGTGGTCCTGCCATGGTCTGCAGAAGGATCTGGACTTCCCTGGTGGTCTCCCATCCAAGTACTGATGAGGGCCAACCCAGCTTAGCTTCTATGATCTGACAAGAATGGGGAAGCCTGGGCCTCCCAGGTCAGGGCATCTCTTTAATTTAATGGCAATTAAATAGCAAAGTTTTCACATCCGATCCAGCAGGCAAACGACTCACAGCTTCACATGTTTATCTGAAAAGCTGGGTTTCTCGGTGAACCCCTTAACACCATTACCTTGATTGCCTCAACGTCTCCTGGAGAGGGTCCCACTTTCTTTTTGTCTGTTGGCAAACCAGCACCTGGGTTGAAACTTCAGAGGGAAAAGTGCATCGTTAGAACTCACGAGGATCCTCATCTGCTTCTCCAGGCTTCCAAAGAGAAGCTCTCTGGAAGCACCAATTTCAATCAAGTGTAGTATCTTATCTTTGTTAACAAACTGATACAGGGAAGGAAGTCTCCTTTAGAAACACCAGCAGGGTGGCCTTCTTTGCCCCCCCACCCCCGTACAGTTTCTCAGGTCAAAGGCAAATCATGGATGGGATTTAGCCCACTCCCCTTTGATGCTGATGAGCAGTGTGCATTTTATGATGCACTAAAAAGGTAAAGGCTCCCTTGCTCGAAAGCCAGTCGAATCCGACTCTAGGGTTGCGGTGCTCATCTCCGTTTCCAAGCTGAAGAGCCAGCGCTGTCCAAAGACGTTTCCATGGTCATGTGGCCAGCATGACTAAACACCATGGCGCACGGAACGCTGTTACCTTCCCACCGAAGTGGTACCTATTTATCTACTTGCAATTTCTTGCTTTCGAACTGCTAGGTTGGCAGGAGCTGGAACTAGAGATGGGAGCTCACTCCGTCATGCGGCACACTCGGGTCTCGAACTGCTGAACTACTGACCTTCCACAGCCTGCAGTTCAGCATCTTAACCACTTGAGCCACCGCAGCTCCTATGATGCACTAGGGAACAACAAAACTACTTCTGGAAAATGGTTGCTTGTCTGCCATTCCAATCAAAGCAGCCTGGGGCTGGCTGGGGGCAGCTGCCGGCTTCTGGACTGCCTGAGAGGCTATCAATCAGCTTGCAGCCCGAGCACGACAGTGGAGAGAGGTGGTGTTTCTAAAGGCGGCTGCCTGTTTTCAAAGCGGTTATTCGTGTCTTACGTTTTGGTTCTCCTGGCAATATCCTTTGCAAGCTGTGCACCCCGCTTGCCCTTGAACATTTTCTCTGCCTCCTGACGCTCCTACAGCGATACCACACACACACAAAGTTAATGCAACATCAACAGGAACAAGCACTCTGTGCACAGCCCCCCCAGCATAACAAGGAGGCAATTATGGACAGAATGTTAAAAACAAATCCAGCCTTAAGATTAAACCTTTAAGCTTGTGTGAGCTGAACCTAGAACCTTTCCAAGTAGACCTTTGTTTTCTGCTTCTCTTCAGGCGGAGAGGGAATTCATGGAGAGACTTCCCCCTAGCACCGAGTATTACCTGTCCGATTCAGAGTCATCATCAAGAGAACTGCTGTTCTCTGCTTTCATTAGCAAAAAATGACTGATGGATCCAAGCTGCAAGGATTTAAATATTCCCACTGTTGCTGGCTCAGTAAACACACGGCAAAATACATGACGACCAAATGCCCCGGCTTCTTCCAAAAGAAGCCTGACATTGCTATTTGGGCTGACCTGCGCTGGCTGCAGAAGTCAGATGCTCATCTCCCCCCCCCTTACTTTTAAGCACCAGAATACCAATTAACCCCACCCCACCCACAATGACTCAACACACTGCCTGCAACCCGACCTTTATGTTACACTGAGGTTAGGAATTGACATAAAGGCCCCAATCAGATAAAACAAATAATGTCAAGCTTCTCACACAAATAGTTTTTAAAGTGCCAACATGCTTACTTTCAATTTGACTTTCTGGAAGTCCAGCACTCTGACTTGTGGGACCTTGTAGATGACATACAGCCTATAATGCTTCTTATTCGTTACAGGGTTTCTCAAAATACTAAAGGAAATAGGAGGAAATTAAAGGAGAGAAAGGTATTTACACAATTTAAAACCATGCACTGTTGAACAGCCTTTCCAGTCAAAGGTTAAGTCATACAAATATTCTCAGATGTAGCTTTTGCTTCTTATAAGAGGGCACTGGGCAGTATCCACTAATTCAGGTTTTTAATACTTCTGAAATTCAAGTGTTATGCAAAGCTTACATTTATTTATTTTACAAAATGTATACCTTGCCTTTCTGCCCTCATGAAGGCCACCAGAGCAGCTAACAGATTAATACACATAAAACCACACCAGAAAAGCCATTAAAACCAACAAAAACACATCAGTTGAACAATTAAAACCATAACTGAATTATACACAAAACCATGAAAATACTACAATTAAAATGCTGGCCAGGAAGGAGGAATCACTGAACGCCAAAAATTAGGGGCAGCAGGAAGAGAATGATAAGAAGGCGCTTCTTTCAGATGCAGATTAGAAGCCCTTTTTAGTGCCATCTACCAAAACAGCAGAAAGATGATGAACACATGTAACTAAAAACAAACCCTATCAAAATGATCAAGCTCAGGTCCTCACCTTACACCCAGTGCCAATGGCTTACAGCCACTAGGGTTGGATCCAGCAGAAAAGATCCTGGAAGAAACTGACAGAGAGGATTTTTCCCTGCCTTCCACTTCCCAAAGTGGCCTGCTGTTCATCTGGAAAAAATCTTCTGAAAGTCCACAGGGCCACAAAAACAAAAATGTATGTGGAAATACAACCATGAGGAGGAATCGGGTAAAGCTGCCATCTCTCTCTTCCACTGAAGCAAGTGATGAACGGAAGAGGGAGAAGGAAGTCTTGCTCAAAGGAGCTTACAAATCAAAACACTAAATCACCGATATAGAAAACAAGCCCAGGGACACTAAACAGCCTCAGAGTGGTGGTGCATTCCGTTTGCCCTGACCCCCAGCAGGGCCTTATAAGAGTGGTGCATTCCGTTTGCCCTGACCCCCAGGGAGGATTTTTGGGATTAACAGTATTTAAGATGAAAGGCGACCTCAGCACAAATCAGAACATGACGGCTCTAAAAAAGGTTGAGCATAAACGGCTCAATTCACAAGTTCTGCTTTGACTACAGAGTGAAATTTTCACTCCTCAGTGGAATGCTTGTTAAGGATGAGGCTAATCAAACTTTGCAGGGGCAAGGCTCCAATGGCAGCTACAGAAGAAAACCTGCTCTGCATGGAGGCCATTTCAGTCTCTCCGCAGGACAACATCTTTAAGCAGGTCCTTGCCTAGCTGACCTCAACCTGTGTGTCCTGCAGGCTGACCTTGAACCAGTCATTCTCTCTCAAGGTAGTCTACTTTTTGGGGGGGAGGGGCAGAACAAAATATTACCTCCCAAACATAAGCCTATCTACCTATTCTATATATGGCACATGTATGTTTTTAAAGCAGTGTGCATATGTTTAGCTCTACACTTTAAAAAAACCACAAGGAGTAAAGACCTCTAGGAAAATACCGCAGATGCTCTCAGAAGTAGAAGTCAGAAAAACACTTTGGGGGCTGAATGTTGACAAGCTCCTGTTACAAAGCATAAAGACTACATTAGCTCACAAAAATGAAGCTGTGCCATACCTCAAGTAAGTCAGCGATTTAATTGTTGCCAAGGGGTCTAGATCACCCTAAACAAGAATAGAAAACAGGAGAACTTCAAAACATGTATGTTACAGTGTAATTCACAGGCAGACAAGAAAGCTGCCATCCAACAAAACTGACTCCTTCAACTCAGTCAATTACATAAGAGAACAAGAATAATTGACTTCATTTCAGACGCCATTGTTTAAGAATGTCTATGCTTAACACATGTCATGTGAAATACATTGGTGTCTCAACTGCACTGCTTCACATTGGAAAGGCAAGACAACTACATAATAAGAAAACTTCTGATCTGTGGACTCAGGGCTTCCACCTTGAGAGCCAGTTTGGTGTCGTGGTTAAGTGTGCGGACTCTAATCTGGGAGAACCGGGTTTGATTCCCCACTCCTCCACTTGCACCTGCTGATGTGACCTTGGGTCAGTCACAAGCTCCGGCACAGCTGTCCTTGAGAAAGAGCAGTTTGTGTCAGAGTTCTCTCAGCCCCACCCACCTCACAGGGTGTCTGTTGTGGGGAGGGGGAGGGAAAGGAGTTTGTAAGCCGCTCTGAGACTCCAAGTGAAGGGCGGGGTATAAATCCAATCTCTTCTTCTCTTCTTCTTCTTAGGGTTTGTAGATCTCCACAGGAATGAGACCAAGGGCCACACCTCACACAACTATTCTCTCTACATGAATCTTGCTCCCACCTCCACTCATAACCTGCGGCGCATGAGACAAGCATTCATCCATCACACGAGAGCCAGTGTCATGTTTAGAGAGTCAAACTAGGGTTTGGGAGATGCAGGTTTGAATCCTCACTCTGCCATGGAAGCTTGCCAGGTGCCCTTGGGCACACACACTTGGCCAGACCTACCTCACAGAGTTGTTGTGAGGATTAAAATGAAGGAGGAGGGAATGTTGTAAACTGCTGTGGGTCTCCAGCAGGGAGAACAGTGGGTTATAAATTAAGAAAAAAACATAATAAGCGTTGGAACTTAGCCAGTCAAATGTTTAAAGCATTAACTCTATAGGTACAAAGTTGGCCCCTGTAATCATTACTACATTTGATACTTCTAATTACAAAATAAATTAGTTAATTTATTGCAAAACAAATACATTTACTTTTAAAAAAAAGTTGTAAAGAAGCATTTCTAATTTTGTTAGGTAAGTTTTCTTCTAATGTGAATCATTCACATGTCTTCTCTTCTTGACCTTTTACCTGGAAACATGGGGTCTATTGTGAGTTGGAAAATAAAACATGGATTCAACAAGAAAGCAGAACCACAACAACTTCACAGGATATCTGACTCAACTGCCATTTGGGCAGCTAACTGAATGGCACGCCAACTCCATCCACACAC